GGTATAGAGAAGGCAATAGGATAGAACACAACACACAACAAAAGGAAACAGGCTCAGATATAAAGTAAACAGTTATCACTAGCGGCTGGCGCTAGAACATATGTACATGTACATGAAACAGCTGTAACCAAAAAATTACCATATAAGGTCGTCATGTGATTAGGCTGATACTAAATATATACTAAAAGTGGTATGGGGGCAGGAAGGGTATGCATTGTAAGGGTTCTGGGAACTATGTAAGTGTATTCATGAGCTTATGGAAGTATGGAATTTATAATTAGAGTAAAAGACATAGAGAAATAATAGAGAGAATAGAAATGAAGACATACAGTAAATTTATGTGTATAAAGACTAACTCACCTTCTCTTTATCAACTTGTGCATATACTGCTTGCTGCTGTTGTGGTTTAGACTTATCCACTTCAGCATATAAATACTCCATATTAGGTGCTTGAATTCTCTGTATGGTGCTAGGGTCTTGATAGGTAGCCAGCTCAGACTGAGGTTGAGGAGGAGGACGTCTTGTGGATCCTTTGCTTGGCTGTGCATACAGTTCCCCAGTGGTTGGTGCTGCTTCTCTTTGAATGTCTTCACTGGACATTGCTTCTTGATATATAGGCTGACCTGTTGCAGGACTACTACTGTAATATAAATTAATATAAAAATTTAAAAACCTCAAAATTACCCATGGTCTTTCTTGTCTACTAGTGCAATAGGCTCTGTTGAATCTAAAGGAAGAAATACACTTACCTTAAATACGTTCATTTTAATGTACGTAATTTAATGTATGTAATATAGTCTAATAGGGCAGCTTAAAGGATCTTATAAAATTGACCTACCTCTTCTTTGATCAAAATTAGCTATACACAAAAGAGATGGTCTATATATGCTGTACTTTACATAAATTAGTAGTACTGACCTTTCTCTCCTTTACAAGATTTATGCCAGATCAGACAACCAACAATACCAAGTACTAGTATAACAATGCCAAAGACTACTAAACCAACTCCTATACCAATGTACAATGTACTGTTTGATCCACCTGCAGCTACAAAGTTAAAAATAATAATGATATTAATTATTATTATGTGTACTGCTTGTTGGTGATGATGTGCTTGGTGTTACTGTAGCTCCCATAGAGCTGCTGGATGAACCTAACAGTATCATTAGGTACATGTATGTATTCAATAATAATAATAATACATACTTGGAACAGAGGGTGTAACTGTCATAGCTAAAGATGACACTGTCATACTTGAAGAGGTAGGAACAACAACAGTAGTAAGGATGCCTGAAGGAGAAGTAAAGGAAGTAGAATTAGTAAGAAATGACATAGAGCTAGTAGTTGGAGTTGATGGAGTAGAAATTATAGCTAAAGTAACATATCATACTAATACACAGCAATCCAAAATATCAATATCAACTAACTTATTGTAGCTGATGCAATTACACCAGTTCCTAATACATTAGCAGCAGCCACTCCAACAGTATATACTGATCCTACTGTAGCATCAGGTATATTGTATGCAGTGGTAGGAGCTATTGTTGTTGTTATAGTTGTATCAGGGTCAGGAACATTGTGATATATTATATAGTCTGATACATTAGGACGAGGAGAGTAAGGTGGCTAAATAAGATTATATTGGTTACATTAATTATTGTGTAATTATAATTTACTTCATTCCATGATACAGTAATATTAACAGTATCTTCATCATCTTCAGGAGAAGTCTGACTCAACATCAAGTTCATAACAAGTTGAACTAATAACAATAAGTGTAAGCATAATCTAGCT